TTTGGAGAAATTGAATTTAATTTAATATTGTATATATTGTAAATATATATTTATTTATACTAAATAAACCACCTCTGGCGAAGAAACGCTGTATGGTGCAGAATAATAATAATAATTGAATTTTTCAAAATTTAAATAAAAAAAAAAATATATTTGCTCACCTTTTCCGAACATATAGCCAGTGACTGGTGCTTCTGGTGGGGCAATCTTCAAACCGTGACTTAGAATGCCAACGTAGTTGGTGAGACGAGATCCGTGCCAAAGCAGTTGACGATTGTTCCATTTCTTGAATGGCTTGAATCTGCGTTCCTCACCCTTTCGAACCACTTTGAATATTTCTTCAACTTCTAAACTATAGTTTGTGTGGGTTGGGGCGTGAGTATTCTTCACATAGCGACAAAGCAGCTCGTATTCATCACTTGTTTTATTGATTGGCACAATGTCGGTTTTCAATTGTTCGTAGTGCGCATCGAGTGGATTCTTCTGCGCATCCGTTTCCTCGTTCAAAAGCCCATAAGCCAATTCCATTTCCAGCAGGCTCTCCAGCATTTCGGCCTTTTTCGATACCATTTCGATTGAGTCTAAGATTGGCGGTCGTCTTATTCCAAAGTCATGTGGAATCATCGTGTAAAAACGGTTCGATGCCTCGACAAATTTTCCCGATGATGCGTCCTTCTGGATTAGCTCCGCTATCTCCTGTAACACGTTCATTGCAGCTTTGATCTGTTTCGAGCTAAGCTTGCCCAGCGGCATTTTCTCCATATCGAGATCAAACTCCAACATCATTTGTTTCATCATATTCACATCAAATAATAGCTTAATAAGATCTTGAACTGGTGTAGCCAACGTTGATTTGATTTTGCTTTCAGTCAATTTGCGTACCTCTTCCTCTTCACCATAATCGATGTCCATCTTATAGTATTTGCCCGGGTATTTGACAAACTTCTTTTCACCGAAGAAATTTCCGGTGCGTTCTTCATAAATCTGTTCGAATGCTTCTCGTGCCTGTTCCAAACTTCCATATGTTTCTAATTTGGTTGAGCCGATTGTGGTTGAAATGCGGCCCCAAGAACGGAAAACCCAATATCGATGGTCACGATCTGACTCGAGCAATTGTATCTTGTAGTATGAATTTTTGTCTTTTGCAATATCAACATTGCACAGAATGGCAAAATATTTGGTCTTTCCTTCACAATAAACATGAGCGATATCTTCAAGTTTGGAATCCGGATCTACAGCGGTTCCGTCTGAAAACATAAGGTAAACAAATGATGATTTTGCACCACAGGTAACCAATCTTCTGCCACAAACTTACTTTTCAATTTTAATTTTTGCGATTTTGGAACGGATTTTGTGTAGATGCTCTTCGATTTCGATTTGAGCTCATCTTGCGGAATGCGTGCATGCGGCTGAAATACAGATTTATATAAAGCAATGCTTTTTTTTTATTGAAATTTAAAAAAAGATAAATTATTATAGATAAAAATTACATCAGTGCCCCAGTCACACAAACTTTGCGATATGATCAAAGAAACGGCGTTTCCAGTTTTTGCATCATCCAAGAAATGCACGGGTACAACTTGGATACCGAATTCTTTTGCCTCCTTTATACGATGACCCATACGATCCACCTCTTCTGCAGTCGAAATAACCTATTATTTATATGATACAAATGAATGAATTATATAAATAAATAAAAATAATTGTAAATGGCAAATGTAAAATAATAAATAACAACCGCAACAGTTTTTTCGTGAATTTTGCTTCCAACTTTTCCTCCCATCTTCTGGATCATTTTCTTAATGTCCTCTTTCGATTTTTCCATCTTTCCAACAATGACAAATTCCATGTTATACAACGGGGGCTTCTCACGTTGTACACGCGGTCTGGAATACAAGTTTTTTCGCTACTGTATTAGATTCTTATGTCTAATGGAGAATATAATGAAAATACTCACGCATCAATATCATCGATTTCTTCTTTTTTAACTTTAAGCTTTGCCTGTACAGCAACTGGCACATTTCGTACCGCACGCGCTTTGACTTTGAACTGTTTTCCCAAAAATGAGTGTTCTTCCTTGATGTACTGCGGTATCTTGACCTGTGTTCGTTCCGGCTCTTTGACGACGTTGTCACATTTTGCCCATTCGGACAAATTACCATTGCATACATACGACGTGTTTCCAAAGATGAAATTTCCATTCTTACAATTGGTGCACGGTTTTATTGCTCCAAAGTAAATCACATCTGTCACATGATCCAACACCTAATAACGATATAAAACAAAAATTACAACATGCAGATAACACTTTCTTTGGTTGGTATAGTCTCACTCACTTCCGAATTGCCTTCAGGAATAGCTTGCCGATTGGCTTCAAGAATGGCAATATACACTGGCTTTTTCGTTTGACTTTCCAGTTTGTCACGGAGTTTGTAGTACTCTTTGTTTTGTTGCTCGATCTTTGCCTCAAGAGCACTATCAACTTCGTCCACCTTTTGTTTCTTCAATGACGGCTCATCAACATCTTGCTTGATTGCTCTAATGAAAACACACATGTATACAGGGCTATAGCTCCCGAAAAAAGAAGAATACTCTTAACTTACGGAATGTGCTTCTTGGCATTAGCTTTGTCATCTTTCGATAAACTTTTGAAGCCTGGAAGTATTTCGGCCGACTCAAACCAACCGAGTGCAGTTCGCAGCTGAGCAAAACACTCCACGTGATGCCACAAGGCCTGGCCGCCAAATTTTAGCCCGATTTCCTTTATGATGTGAAATATATGTTTCAATTTAAATATGGCTTTAGGATTTTGAAAGTCAACTGATTGGCTTTAGTCTATTTGTTGGAATTCAATTAATTGAATATTATCCAAAGATGACTGAAGCGTACCGAGCAACCGACGCGCCACAACTGAGTTTGCGTGCGTCAAACATGCTTAGTGTCTGTAACATGACCGAAAACGAGCATGGTTTACAAGAGTGCATCAGAGCACTTGTGTTTTTTTTTTGCTTTTTTCGTCGTTCCACTTTGTATTTTTGGCCAATATTCTGTCTAATTTTGTCAAAGATAAATGTCTGAAAAGTGATTTAGGGAAAAATCCCCAAATGCGTGTAATGGCACGCAGCGAAAAACGACTCTCAGTTGAGTTGCGGCATACGCTACTTAGCGTGCGCTCAGACACCTCTGGTATTAATCTGTTTTATTTTTGCATACTATATTAAATCGAAAATACCCAATGAATGAGGAAAATACGGGTCTTTATGGTATCTAAAAACTTATGACTTATAAACTAAAATGTTACCGTATCATGTGCAACTTTCTTGATGCGCACTTCATCTTTTGGAATTTTTTGATGACAACCGGCGCACGACGCCCGCCCAGATTTTGCATACTCAATCCCAAAGTCATTGATCAGCATCGCCATTCCTTTTGATGTTCCCGGGTCCACTGACCTTTTTTTTCCTTTTTCTTTCTTCGGTTGAGGAATGACAGCAGTGACACCACCACCTAATATGAAAGGCAATATCAAATGTTTTTACCAATTTTTACAGACACATAAAAGCCCAGATTTATACCCAGATTTCCGCGAATTTCCTTTTGATCTTCAACACGAAGCTTGGGAAATCCATCGATAAGTGCTTCAGTAGCCGGTCGATGTTTCTTGAAAAAACATGCCTGATGAAACCAGTTGGGTTGTTTTCCATCATGAAATGCCGACTAAATGTGAACAATAGAATGCGTTTTTTTTAAATAAAACAATTTCAGAGTTGAAAATATCAAATCATGTGTATGGCCATAATCAAAGAAATTATTCATAAATGGAACATACGAAAGAAAAAAAAACAACAAAGAAATCAGCGTTTAGCAACAGGAATCACTTGGGACCGTTTTTTATAATGTAATAAATGGTGCACACCATTTCCAATTTCATATACATCTGTTTCCGATATTCTAAATATATTACCTGAACCATAACGGCGATGCGCAATGTCCCTTGAGCTATGTTCGTTTTGCATCCTTTACACCCGGCACGACCGCTTTTTGCGTATTCACATTTATATGGGAGTTCTTCAGACATTTTTGGATAATTTTTTTTTTCGCTTTTCTCTCTACTTAAAACCACACTCAAGAAATATGGTACTCAAAAAAAATAACACACTTAATATGGTCATAAAAAAGGGGAAAAAAACTACAAAATGTCCCGATTAAAGATTCACAATAAATGTTTCAGAAGATTGTGAAATGAAAATGAAGTGATTCAAATGGAGTATGTATATTTTAAAACAGAACGCGCAGAACTGAACTGGAACTGGTCCTGTTTTGACAAACAATTTTCGCGGTTTTTCAAACTGAACCTGGACCTGAATGATTTTAAGTGATCCACCGGATTGAAATTTATTTTCACAATAGGAAAATAATTGAATTTTCTCTTTCTTCGAAAATATCCAACAAATATGTTTACTCTGATTAAAATACTTTCACGAAGCGGATGCAACAATCGAAATTCAATTGACGTTAATCTGAAGAAGAAAAAAACTAGTTCAGTGGGCATGGACATCATCGCACGCACACAAATATATATCATCGCACATAACATACAGTGTCAACAGAAATAGCGATACTACGGCAAACAAACAAGATCTACTGGATGTTTGGCTAACTGTCAAAACAATAAAAGAAAGAAAAAATTTAGGAATTGTCGACTGATGCTAGGCTTAAAGTGGCAACTGATTTGTTTCTTCTATAGAGATTATTTTTTGTCACCAATCATTTTGATATTTTCATTTGCTCTGGGGTAAGTTCACTCTGAAATTGTTTTTTGCGTCATACAAATTGCTACATATATAAATAAAATTCATTTTAGTCATTCACTGTGAAGAAAAATTCGGAAATGGTGCATCCTGCTGCTTTAGCAATCACATTCGGTGTTGTTCTAGGTGGTGCTATCTTTGCTTTGTTCTTTTACCAAAATACAAGAAACCAAGACAATCGATGGACATACGAGGAAAGTCCGAGAAGAGATCCACTAGAATTCATGCAACATCAATTTGAATCTGACATCTGTTCAATTTGTTTAGATCGTTTCGATGACGACGATGTATTTTTAGAATGTTGCCATCGTTTTCATCGGCGTTGCATTGATGAAAGTCTAAGACATAGTCATTCATGCCCGAATTGCCGTCAACCAGCCAAAATTCGGAGGAGCTAATCCAAATCATTTGCGTGGTAGTTGAACACCGCTTTTAGTGAAAATTTGAATTATATTGTTATTAAAGGAAAGTGATGTTGAAATTAACACAAAAATAGTAACAAAAATGTTTCTCACTTTTAGACTACACCCTTTTCAATTATTAGAGGGTGAATCGATTGAATTGTAGTAGTTCGATTTTTTATTTTATTTTTCTCAAACACAAAATAAAAATGACATGGTAAAGACTAATAACAAATGCTCAATGTTTTCTCATCTACTCGATATCCGTTTAAGGTTTAACTGTTGACAGTTACAGTGTGACAGCTGTGTGTTTCTAATTCTAATGCTCATTGAACACATACATGGTTTGATGGCAATGATGAAGAAAAACCTGATTCAATCTGATTTAATCGTCAGTGAACGTTTGAGCTGCAAAAGAATTAGAGCGTTGTTTGCAGTTTTTATAGAAAAAAATTAAAAATCAAGAGCGATTTGAGTAATCGAACAATTTTACTAGAAATTTCAATTGAAATTGTGTCAACCTATTTATAGGAAATTTATTTTCATTGACAATGTTTGTACATCTAGTCAAGCGTCCGTTTCAATCGCTCGTGCTACGAAATACTTTTCGAAATTCCGGAAGCTTGTAAGTATTCGTTTTTTTTTTTTAGTTTAGTCAACAATCTTTCTTATTATTGTTGACCTTAAACTACAAGTGTGTACAACGTAGCATTGTTCAGAACGAAATGTGTTTGATCACTTACAGGTCTCAGAATCGATACTCTAGCAGCCAGATTAACAAAGAAAATGTAGCCTTTGCAGGGACAATGAACGATGGTTAGTTTCAGTCTGAAATATACAAATTGCATTCATAATAATACGGTAATTTTATTGAATGACAGTGAAAACAGAAATAGTGAAAAAACTTGGCATACAGGAAAATTGGTCAGCTTTGCCAAAAAGTCGTAAGTATTACATTATTTACCTAATGAAAGTTGGTATATTTTATGTGAACTCCCCCTTGTTTTGTAAATTGTACAGTGTACACACTGATGTTTTTATTCTTTATTTCCTTATTCATCGCCGTTTATTAGGTGAATATCTTGCTCAATACGAACCAAAGTCTGTTGATGACTTGCCAGCAAGGTCAATGAAGGACTCTTTTACATCGGCTTTGCTACCACTTTCGCAGGATCTAGCACTGCGTGATAAATATGTGCATAATTTTTTTTCACTCTCTTCCTTTCATGTATTTTGTGTCGATTTTGTTGGATAAATTCATGTTGTTTTTTTTCCACCATACCAGGTTACCTTCATGGGAAGTGTTCGTTTGGGACGTCTGATGGAGGATATGGATTTGTTTGCCGTTTGGGTATTACATCAGCACGTGAAGCTGCCAAATTTAGATCCCTCGATCCCACTACCGTACACTTTTGTTACTCTTTTTGTTGATTCTATAAATTTCACTGATCATATTCCAAAAAATGATTCCGATATTCGTCTTTCGGGACATGTAAGCTGGGTGGGACGCTCGTCCGTTGAAGTTGTTGTATGGCTTGAACAAAAATTTCAAGGACGATGGCGAAAGCTAACTAGAGCACTTTTCTTGATGGCCTGTCGTAATGCAACTAACAGTGCAGCCGCAATTGTGAATCCTCTAAATCCTGAAAATGACGGAGAAAAAAAAATTTTCACTGGTGGTGAAAGTGAGTCGATTACATAAATACGTATACAATATTCAACTGAGTGGTCGTGAAATCCAAAATTTGGCCATGTGTGGATTTTACCATATAAACTAATGTTATTGCAGCCGCGCCAAACCGCGCTCCGAGGTTTTCATACAAACTTCCCATGTAGACGGTCGCAACACAGACAAAAATCGAAAAAAAAAGTTTAAATTTTTTTTTCGATTCCAATATAGTATTGTGTCTGCCCAATCCATTGGTGTTATCGGCACATCGAAATTCGCGCTCCTTATCACTTAATTTTCACTCCGAAGCCAAATCACAACCAAAACCACCATTAAAATTAATCATCATACCAATGGACTTGAAAGTGTATCGAACATTTTTGCTTCAATTAAAGTGAAACACGATTTATATAGTCAACAGATATTTTACGATTCACTTTCAAGCGAACAGAATTTATGTTGCACTTTAAAAAAAAAACAAGAATATTGTGTTACGCTTATCCATAAGTGGTTCAACTTAAGTCATTTTTATTCCCGACCACTCTCAACTGAACATCAACTAAGTCTTTGCCATTGTTTATTTTTAGATCGCAAACGAAAACGAATTCAATTACAGAAAGAATCCATTTTCCATGGACAAGAGCCAAGTGCATTTGAACAAAAACTCATTCATAACATTTTCATGAAAACCATGGACTTAAATAATAAGAATAAGACATTCAACGTTCGTAAAATTCCATCAGGCGCCATTTGGATGGAAGATGCGCAACTCTCGAATGTCATCTACTCTCACCCGGAAGACAGGTTAGTTGTTGTTTTACTTCTGTTACGATAACATTAACATTAACATTGTTCGTATGATGATAATCATTGTAGGAATGCTCACAATTCAGGTAATGGCTTACGTTTTATTAAGAACAAAAATTGAAAAGAAATTCAACGCAAGAGTATTTCTCTATTTTTATGTTTGCTTTTAAAAAAAATATATGCAGTTTTCGGTGGCTATTTAATGCGGCAGGTAAACAATTTGATATTTACTTGTAGTTGATTGCATGGTCGAAATTAAGATGGTGTTCGTGGAGTGGAGATGGTTTTTTATTTGATATACGGAATTAAATGATTTTACATCTTTTTCAAAAGGCTTTGGAACTCTCATGGGGTCTGGTGTATACATTGAATGAGGGCCGGTGCCGCCTGAGATGCATAAACGATATCACTTTCTCACGGCCGGTACCAGGTAGTATAATAACACAAAGTCTGAAAATTCAGACCGAAAAAACTTAATCAATCGAATTCATTGCAGTTTCATCTCTATTGAAAATGCACGCTCATTTGGTGTACACCGAAGTTAATTATATGGTCATTGTGGTGATTAACGAGACTTATGATGCCATTTCCGGCGAACACACTACATCAAATGTCTTCTACTACACTTATTCGTGCGATGTGCCTGTAAATCAAATTATTCCAAAAACATACAACGAAGCTATGTGGTACTGAATCGTCGATATGCATAAACATGGTTGAATGAAACAAAATAATAAGAAATGGCATTGTTTTCATCAGGTATCTAGATGGCAGACGGAAGTTCATTGCAGCTGTTGGAGGTGAAGATGAAAAAATTGAAGGTCTAACACAGAAATCCGGCTAAATTGTTTATTTAAAATGTCGAGTGTCCCTTTTGAACAATAACAATATATTAATAAAAAAAAAATCTTTACATATACAAATAAGACTCAATATATTCATTCCATTCATTTTGTTGTGAGAGAGTGCACTGTTAAGAAATTCAGCAAGTTTCAACTCAGTTAATAATTTAATAGAAATGCAGAATAATTGCTTTTCACAATCCAACATATGAACACAGTGAAAATGTGAGAAATAATGCACCAATGATTATTAGTATTGCTAACCATGCCGGAATTTTGTCTGTGGAAGATACATTGATATGTATGAATATATAATTATTATTGAATGTGGTTCTGAATTCAAGAAACTTACGTCTATAGGATAGACTGTGAATGCAAATTTTGTTGTCAACTGAGATCGAAAGAACGGCTGCCTCGGTATTACTCGTTATAGCTGGACCATCAATATCCTTCTGTGGCAAAAATTCCAATCCAGTGACAAACATAGAGTGAGCATTGGGAATGTAAAGAACACGTTGCAAACTAAATGATATGTATATTGAGACTGAACCCGTGAACATAGTGCCAGTTGCAACGAATCGACCATCATCCCGCACTGCCAGTGAAGCAAGGCTCTCATCGATCACTGTCGAATTGATAAGAGCACCATTATCTGGGCTCCATTCCTGCAAATAGCCCACCTAAGTGCAAAATCCAGATGATTTATAGTAGTGTTTTTATAGAACATTCAATTATCCGCATATCACACAAGGATCTCACCTGTTTCCCAACTTTTCCCAGAGGATTGGCAATCGTAAATAAACGATGTTGGTTCGATTTCCCTTCAAAGACACCAAATCTACATCTTTTGAATAAATATCTTGTATTGTTGGGTGGAGTCCAATTCAATTTGCTGCATTCTTTTCCGGTTTCAACGTTCCAAACAAATGCCAGACCATCTTTGGCAATTGAAACCAATTGTTTGCTGTTGGGGCTGAAATCCAAATCGTCAATCTCCTTTGAGTGTGCTTCAATATCAAATATTTGCACCATGTTTGGAAATTTCCAAATTCGGATATGCGTATCGGTGCCACCCGTTGCCATATATTTACAATTTAAACTAATGCGAACCACTCGTTGAAAGGGCCCGTCGCTTGAAAAATCCGTTTGCGTCAAGTCGCCGGCTTTAATTTCGAAGCGTAGACAACGCGTCTCATTCTGATAACCACCATCAGCAGTCCCATTTTTTGATGTTGTTGAAAATCTTCGATGATTTGCTACATCGTGCGAAGCTTTTCTCTTACGTAAATTCTGTTCGTCGAATGTAACAGAAGATCCTTTTCGCCCCAATAATGGTTTGAGCGTTTCAATACGACCATTTTCGAAAGCATTTTCATTACTATCAATTTTAACATTGACATGATACAATTGACAATGACTTTCTTGACCAGCTAACAAGTACGAATGATTTCCCGAGCTTCGCACCGCACAGTTCATAACTACATTGGCCCCGGTTTCATGCCGTATAATTTCTTCAGCAACAAAGTGTTGTCCATTATGGTAAATTTCGTAAATTTCCTAGGGAATGAAAACGAAATGGGTAATGTGGAGTTTGTCAAATATTGAAATATAAACAAATACCATTATATGAGAAGACTTACAAAACCATTGGCAACGCCCGTTTTACTCGATCCTCCACCACCAGCAACCAAAACATGACGGCTTGTAAGCATTTCAACCGAGTATAATGGAAAATTTACTCGCGCCAGTAAACCTTCATGCGATCTACGTGGTGCCATATCTTCAAATCTCTTTTATGAAATTTTGTTTTGTAGTTTATTCGAGCTAATAAATTTACACTTTAATTCAACACTTTAGCCCGATAAGCTTAATTCAATTACGCGTTTTTTTTTCGAGTAATAATATTTTCATTCAATTCACTGCATCAGAAGTTGTCGTTAGTTTCAACATCCGACTGGTTTCAATTCGTACATATATGCCACATAGAATATTTTGTGTTGCGGTCAAACGTCAAACTTAACGTAACTCGAATGTCAAATGATTTGTTGTTTCGGTCCGGGTCGTCTTGGCTACATACTAGTCCACTACGAATTGATATTTTTCAAACAAATTTTGTGTAATTTATATGTTCTGATGATAACACGATACGTATGAATTGGAAACAAATAAAGAAACTGCCCACACTTATCTGATTTTCAAAGATCTTCTCGATGGTAATATTTGTATACAGATAAATTCTGGGAAAAAGTCGATTTTAAATTGCTTTTAATCATCGACTTTATATTATCTCCTCTATTCTCCATTTATTATATGCTGGCTGAACATACAAATCAGGAATTGACATACTACTAAATCGGCTCGGCACTGGTTGTTCCACAAATAACGTTATAATGTAATAAACAAAGAGTTTGACATACTTGTCATCTGTCAATATGAAGAAAAGTATATGTATACAATAATATAAGTTTAGTTACGCTTGCCGAAAAGTCACAAACCCAATAAATTTGACCCAATGTACGGTGAAAATCGATTTGAAACAGAAATGGAAATTGAAAAACTAAGTGATTTTCTAAAGAATTGTTGTCGTGTTTGTTTATCGGTGGAGAATGAAATGGTGGATGCATCAAATATTGTGGAAAATTTCAACAAGACAATTGATCAATTGTTGTTCGAGTGCTTGTTTAATGCCGAAATGTTGTTCAGTGCAGATGATAGGTCACAAAGAAGACTCTGTGAACTATGTACTACAGAACTTGTAATGGTCGCAAAATTTCGTGAAAAATGTGAAATGTCAGCAAATGCACTGGATCAAATAAGGAGTCAAATCACCAAAATGAGCGAAGAACGTGAAACATTCTACGAAAACATCGTTGAATATGCCGAGGAAAATGTCGAATATGTTATCTACGACATGGATATCGTCGATGAAACACAGGATTCTACTCAGAACAAGGAAGAAGATAATGCGAACAGCTGCAATTATGAGGTTCATACTACGACATATTAAATATATACCACGAAGAATGTGCAAAATATTTTCCTTTGTTTCAGTCAATGAAAAAGAAATTTACACCGACTAAACACAAAAATAAGCAAAGTGTGGAGGTTGGAAGCAACTTGAAGTCAACCATTAAACATCACTGTAAACTATGTGGGGCCGGATTTGCTCAAATGAATAATTTTAAAAGGCATTTAGAGACGCACAATGAACACGACAAGTATTTCGGATCATTTTCATTTCGTGTTTGAATATACCGGTAAAAAAATTATTAATTTCCAGTGAACAAGATTCTATGATGATTGATAACGTTGAATGCATAGATGAGTGCACAACAAAAAATGACCCACGACTACATGGGGATATTTATAATAAAAATTCGGCAGACATGCAAAACATAAATAGGAATAACAAAAATCACGGATGTCGGTATTGTTATCGCACCTTTCCTTCGCTATCTCTATTAGCCACACATACTCGCGTAAGTGTTACATACTCGCGTAAGGCTAACGCCATCCAAAATTAACTATGATTTTTTGGCAGAAAATTCAATAATAAATTTCTTTAAAAATGTAGATTCACACCGGAGAACGCCCATATACTTGCATAATTGATACTTGTACGAAAGCATTCAAGACACAAGGTGCATTAGACTTACATGTTAGACGGCATAGTGGAGTAAAACCATACAAATGTGAGGTTTGTAACCGTGGATTTGTTGAAAGCAGCAATTTAAAGGTGCACATGAGGTAAAATCTTTATAAATATTACATTCAAATTGTTGAAAGATAATATGCAACTCTCTTCTTTTGAATTCATCATCATCCAGAATACATACAGGCGAAAAACCGTAGGTTCACTTACCGATAGTATAACATTCCTAAGCCAACGTCTGAAAACCTTATGAAATTTTTTAAAGGCATCAGTGCATTACCTGTGGTCGCAGTTTTTCGAGAGTTTTTCTCCTACAAATACATCAAAGAACGCATTCTGGCGAGAAACCATTTGGATGCGAGGTATGTGAAAAATCATTTGCACAGCAGGGAGATTTAGCAGCTCACAAACGAATACATTCCGGTATGTTGGTGATTAAAAATCATGTAACCTCTAAAATATTACCGTAAAGTTTTTTTTTAATTTTCAAGGTGAACGGCCGCACCGTTGTAAAGTGTGTCAAAAAGGTTTTATTAAATCTAGTGGGCTAACGCAGCATATGCGCCGACATCTTAGACCATCTAAAGCCAGCTCTAGCAGCAGCAGTAATAATGCAAATAACGTTGAGCCCATCGGAAAGAATGAAGGTTTTATTGAAAGTTCTGAATCATTTGATGAGTTAGTTGTTTAATGATAAAGAGATCTGGGTACAAAATTGATACGCAGAGAACTTTTTCAATGGATCTGTTGTATAAAATTTTCGCAAGAAAAAGACACGTGGAAAATCTGAAAAAACTCTCCCATATCCTACACACACGCCTAGGAAATCTAACTATGATTTTGACTTTACCTATCGATAAACTCGTTGATTTTAATTATTTCAATAAAAATGTGCACAAATTGATTCAGAAAAATTGGTTTTTCAGTAATGACTAAATATAATAATTCACTTGGACATGAGTTGTGACTACTTGTCAGCCAACATCCATCTCTTGGCACAACACTGAACATCAATTTTGTTCAATTTTTGGCCACAAATCGAATGGTAAATTAAACATTCGCGTTTTGTTATTATCCGGTTCAGTTCTGTTTTGAGCTCCGGCTCAGTTCCTGTTTGAGCTCCGGCTCAGTTTCCGTTTGAGTCTTTGGACCATTTTTAACCTTTACATCATGCTATACACGATTTGGTATATTGGAATTTCCTTATTATTCCGTGCCTGTGTGCAGTCGTCCCATTTCATTTGAATGCAATTGCACGGTCGCTTATATACATTAAGAGGTCAGGTTTTTAATTCTTCTTGATTTTTTCTTAAAAACAATCGAAATTAAACTATGAATTGTCGATATATTTTTTGAAACTAGATTTAAACCTATTTTTGTGTGCTAATAAAAAGTATCAAGTGATCAATTCGAAGTCTTTTCCATTTAACGGTGATGTCTAAAATTTTTGGTCCAGATATAATAATCATTTCAAGCAATTGAAAAGAATCCTAGATTAAATTGTATTTCCTTGATGTTGTAAACCGGCCTTAAATCTTAAATCTGAAAACTTAACGAAAATACTTTCGTTCGCATTCAATCATTCAAATAGGTTTCGCTCCAACTTCAGACTGGATGAGACAACGACTTTGGCGCTCAAATTTTCGTTAAACGCAGTCATGTCAAATGATCTATCGAATTATGTGTGTTTGCATTACAGTTGATCGACGATTCTTTCTATTTTCGTATTAATAGTGTAGTCAAGTTATTAAAATAATTCGTTCTAATTCATTGTGTAAGCACAACGGTTGAATTAAACAAAGAACATTAATCGGTTTATGTATAAAACATTTATATCATTCACCTTGTTTGAAAATGATTTCACAATAGAGTTTGACTGAAACCGCTAAGCATTTGGCAGAAACAGCAGAGGAAATAACAACAAATTTAGTGAAAACAATTACCGAGTCTCTTTGTGCTGTCCAAAGCGAAATCGTGTTCATTCGAATTTGTTTTGAGCTATATTGATTCCAATCTATTTTTTTCCGATTACTGGAAAAAATCACGATGAAGTCGTCGCCGAAGTTAAATGAAATGCCTCCGTCAACGGGATCAAAAACACCAGCTAGCGGTAAAAAATTGGTACAAGCACGTCTTCCATTCAAAACATTGGGTGGTAGTGAGCCTCCTGCAAATGAAACATCGGATACTACTTTGGCTACCGCAAACACATTAACACCCGTTACGGACAATCGAAAACGTAAGCAAAGTACGTCCGCAGCCAAAGACGATGGGTTCCGTGCAGCCAAAATAAATCGACGTGAATTGGATAGTAACGATAGCGTTGTTGTTCTTGAAACTACTGAGGCTATGGAAAGTGATTTGTCGGCTGACAGCGAGACGGGCAATGGTACAAAGACGATGCTTAGCCGAAATTCTGAGAGCAAAGAGAATTGCAAGGAGGCAGTTGAAAAAGTCGAAAATGCAAATTGTGCACCCAAAGCGAAGCATTCACTGGAATTTGATGAAGAACGACCGGAGCCACGTAAATCGAAAAGAAATGATTCGAGCTTTACAATCAAACTCCCAATGAGCAAAAAAACAAAGAAAACCAAGAAACACAAGACTTCTGAACCAAGTGACCCGACAAAAAATGAGATTCCAATGGAAGAAGACAATCTACAAGATACTATCATGGATGTTGATACAATCGAAGATACAGATGTAGATGCAAATGTCGATGCAGGTGCAAATAGTGCATCCACAACTACATCGTTGGTGCAAGATGTAGATGAATTATCCGACAACGAAGATTCGAACAATTTTGGAGACAAAAGCCTTCTAAATGATTCAATCACGTCCAATACATCCGATCGCTGCTTAACACCGGCCAAAATGACACCAAGACAACTGCAACGACGACACGAATCCGAAAAGAAGAAGCAAGAGAAAGAGCAAGCTAAAGTTGAACGGGAACGCAAGTTACAGGAGGAGAAAGAACAACGTCAACGTGAAAAAGAAGAGCGGGAATTACAGAAAAAACGAGAGCGCGAAGAGAAGGGTATACATTTTACTTATGACTCAAACTGAAATGAAATATTCTTTTTAACATTAAAATTAGTAGATAACTTCAATATTATTAAACTTATACGTATGAAGGTTTCAAATATTTTCCATAATCTGTTCTTTACCAAAAAAAAATCCATATAATATTTTTCCTAACGAGAAGAAAATATCATAAATTATAATATAAACAGATGAGCAACGCAAAAAAGAGAAGGAAATGCGTGAGCAAAAACTGCTGGAAGAAAAATTGGAGAAACAACGAGAAAAAGAGCAGAAAGAACATCAACGGAAAATTGAGCGTATGTATAGACTATTTTCATGTTCATTATTATGAAGTGAATTTATTCAATTTGTTGATTCACCGCCAAGATCTGGCTATAAAAGTAGATAAATTTGATTGGCTTGGAAAAAAAGAGTACGAGAAGGAATTCTTATCTCGTTAAAAAAAACGTTTGATTAAAAAAATTCAATCAAAATATTCTATAAAATTATCATTTAGAAGAGCAACGGAAACGCGAAAAAGAGGAACGAGAGCTTCAAAAGAAAAAAGAGCGCGAAGACAAAGGTTAGTTGTATTTGTGTTTATTTCGATTGATGTAACGTTTCATTCAATTTTCGATTTCAGAACGTGAAAAAGAGGAGGAACGCAAGAAGAGAGAGGACGAAAAACGACAAAAGATCGAGGCTGAACAAAATAAACATAGAAAAACTGCTGAGGCATTTGTAAAGTTTTTTGTACCAAAAAAAGTCGAAAACAAATGTGAATCGAATGAAAATGACGAGAAAATGGACCTCTATCAAGTGTCACAAATGTTTATGTCGTTCCAAGTGAAAGAAGATATGAAAATGGCGCCTGTGACTCGTAGAACCTTGAATGGTACCGAACGCTCAACATTGGAGCAATCACTGACATCTAACAATTCATCAGTTAATCTATACCTTGCACAAATAAAGAGTGATGCATTTGTTGCGAAAAAAACCGCGCGTACCTGGCAAGACGATGAAGATGATAAATGTAGCAATGCTGATGATTTATTCATTATCGGTAATTTCCGTATGAAAATGTTGCTGTTCTCTCTCAAATATTATATTATCTCATTTGTAGAAGAGGATGGACAAGGCGTTCAACTCATCAAAGAAGAACCGAAGAAACTATATCGAGCCAAGTTCTTTAAGTTTGCAGAAAACCGTCGCCCCCCATATTATGGCACTTGGCGCAAGAAAAGCGCAACTGTTCGAGCACGAAAGCCCTTCGGATTGGATTCGGTAGGGAGTAAAATGGCTATTTATGGTCTTCTATTGGCGAAAAAATATTCATAAATTTTTCAAATTATGCATGTTTAGCGATTGGACTACGAAGTGGACTCGGATGACGAATGGGAAGAGGAAGAGCCTGGTGAATCATTGCACGGTTCCGATGATGAAAAAGAGGTTGAGTCTGAGGACGAATATGAGATTGACAATGGTAAGCAGAAAAGCGAATGATTAAATGAAGCGATAAACATATTGTTTTCATTTATTTTTTGTTCATTTTTTCACCATCAAGATCTGGCTATAGAAAGTAGATTAATTAAATTAACCCTCGGAAGGACCCTTGGGTCCAGCCAGACCTTTTTCATTTTTGATCGTCAATTTAACATATTTCTGATTTAGCTAAAGACTTGAGTTTTAAGTTATCTGCCTGAAATTTCATTGACTATTGATCTAGCAAAACAAATATTACAAAAAGTCCTTAAAAAGGATGATATAAGGATATACAAAAACTACACCTTCGAATGGACCCCTTTGGGTCTGGCTGGACCCGTATACATTTTCATGCATTTGTATGGAAATAAGGTATGCATACCATCTCATTTTTCGCGAAACTGATAAAAGATAAGTGATATATCTCTTCAGCAAAGTTGTGGATCAGGTCAAGAGCTACAGTTTTTTTTTGAAAAAGTCATCTCCTTATCTCTTTAACAGTCCCGCGAAAATTGATAAGAAAAAACTAGATATTTCCGCGGTTTTTCGCGTATTTGATAGGAGATAACGAATTAGTGTCTTGAGCAAAGTTGTAGTACTCAACCTGCTCTTCAATTTTGCTGTTGACAATTATCACTTATCTCTTATCAGTTATGCGAAAAACCGCATAAAACTGATAACAGGATAATGTTTCTGACAGGGATTTTGATTATCATTTTTTGCGTAATTGATAAAAGATAAGTGATAGCTGTCATAAGCAAAGTTGATGAGCAGGTTGAGTACTACAACTTTGCCCAAGATACTAATTCGTTATCTTTTATCAAATACGCAAAAAACCAAGGAAATTTTCAGTTTTTTCTTATCAATTTTCGCGGGACTGATAAGAGATAAGGAAATGAAATCTTCGAAAAAATTGTAGCTCTTGGCCTGGTCCACAACTTTGCTGAAGAGAGATATCACTTATCTTTTATCAGTTTCGCGAAGAATGAGATGGTATGCATACATTATTTCCATACAAATACATGAAAATGTATACGGGTCCAGCCAGACCCAAGGGGTCCGTTCGAAGATTTTAAAATAGGTGTCCGTACGAGGGTTAAACAAAATAAAATGAAGTCAGATAAATTAACGAAAAGTTTTACGTCTGTTAAAGTAGATCCACGTTGACTATTTGAAAATATGAATTTTTTTATAGATCCCAAAATTTTCAGATATTTCAAGTAGTACAAATCAGTTTTTTTTTTCAACTTTATCTCTATCTTCAGAATTTTTTGTTCCGCATGGTCATCTGAGTGATGAAGAGCTTCAAAATGAGGATGAACCAGACTTCAATGACCCAGAAAATCTGAAATTCAAACTGAAACTCGCCCAAAATGAATTTGAACACGAAAGAAAGAAGAAAACTCAAAAGTTGAAACCACGGTTGATCGGCCTGATTTGGCAAAATTCAAATGGATTAAAACCAGACAACTGTTCCAACGGTGTTTGGGAGCTGATGAACAAACATGCGCTATTATTCAACGAGCCAACTGTGAAAGTAGAGCGGCCAACCAACCAAACTGAGAACAGTGATGATGAGAACACGAATACAAAACCGCTCGGAGTGCGACGATTGCAAATCGGTGAAAAAGAAATCCCCGATTTGATAAGATTGATCAATGGCAACCAGAATAGTTCCAAGTTTTTGGTGAAAGAGTTCTGTGCTTTTTTGGCAAAAAACCATCAACCGCATCGTGAATATGCGAGTTCAAGCATCATGGCCAAAATCAAGGAGTTGGCCGCATGGCAGTCATGTCCTGAAGAAGACTGTTGTATGTATAGAAAAATGTGCTGGTACGTTCGGGTGGAAACTCGTAAGCGATACAACGTGAACGATTTGACTTTTCCAAACACTTGGTCATACACAATACCACCACGTCGTCCAGTCGGAATGAACGAAGTTGAAGGTGAAAGCAAAGCAACCGAAAACAATGAAGTGGAGAAGAAAACTGATCTTGCTGACATCATTGAGGTATCTGATGACTCCAACAGTTGCACTTTGTCAGAGACTCTGACGCCCGAACTGATCAAACAGGCTTCGTCGAAACGACAAAATTACAACATTGCCAAATTCATTCGTCCCTTAACCCTGGACGAGAAGAAAAAGCAGTTTGAACCGATCACGTTGAATCGTCGTCCATCAGAAGATCAAATGACAGAGAAAGATACGAACGAAGCACCGTCTGCGAAATCATCATCTCAGGCGTCGGCACCAAAAAAACGATTAAATATTCTGATGTCGGGACCGGTGGGTCAGGAGCTGTCGCCAAAGCTCAAAACAACACTCGTCACACAGTTTCTAAGCAACAACGTCCGAAAGCGAAAGTCAACTGACGTAAACAGCGATGTGACAGAGACTTCGTCGACCAGCACAGCAGGCACAAGTGATGGCGCGAAGAAAACAAAGCTCAACGATTCGGTCATTGTCATTGATTAAGAGCGAGTTCATTAGATTTTGTAGTTGTTTAAGTTTTTTTTTTCAAAACATAAGGCAATTTTATTTGAAGCAAAATTATTACACACAGTTATCGATCATATTATCAAAATCTGCAGAAGTTCTTTTTGAAAAATTATAAAGATTTTGTTAATTCCCATTGAAGTTGATCTAAAAATAGGGCAATAGATTACATTAAGTGAGGTTGAATAAAATGAACTTTTCTAGTTGAAAATTTTTCATTTCACAATTATTGGATTCATTAGCTGAATGGAAAAGAAAGTTATGTTCATTTCCCCTGTATTTATAAACAACAGCATTGAAATAAAATAATAACATCATCGAAATCGAATTTCGAGCATTTGTTTTACAATCTATTATTATCAATATGTTGAGAAAGAAAATTCAAAAACGTTTGTGATGTGTTTATTGGTAGAATGAATCATATTCACTGGTTCTCATGTGCAAATCGTTATAAGACCTAAGTGGTTTTCGTATCATGTCATCGTTGTCGTCACTTTTGGTGTGGTAATCATATTTCAACGTTCTTTCTGTCGGCCGACGATATGACATCATACTCGCATCGTTTGCACGATAATATGGGTATGGATCGTACCTAACAACTTCAGGCAAATATGCATAGTATATCATTCTTTTGCGTGGTAACATCGACGATGACGGTGGCATTATGTCAGTGCGCATATAATAAGGGCTATCTACATCATTGCCGTATGAGAAGTCGTCCCTATCATAGCGATTACCAGAGTAGTGGACATTATAGTCTGAATATGGAAATCTGCGCAAGTAAAAGTCTGCATATGGTGCGTTGTAATCAACCGGAATCCGATCGTACATGTCTGTTGGCGCTTTTGAAGGAGGAGGATACATACCAATATAGCGGCTGAAAGAAAAACACAAATTTAGAAACATCATTTCTGTGTGAAAATAAAAAATACAAACTCTTCATAATGATTGCTATAAGAGTCACGATTTTTGTGATCGGGAAATAAAGGAGGTCTGGCTGTGCTACTCCTCTCTGGATATCGCTCGTTGTCAGACGAAACTGTTGAGTCTTTGCTGTTGTGCAAAAGTGGTGGAGTCTTATAAAAATCCGGAGGCTGATTCTGGAGGCTGATTCTGGAGGCTGATTTGGTTGCACTGGTTTTCGTGTCATCATGATATAGTGATTTCTTTTGTTGGGTTACAAAATTTGCTTTAGGTGTTCGAGATTTAATGCCTTCATTCATACCTTGGGGAAAATCATAGAACAATGAGAAATAATGAAATATAATGAAATGTAAAGAAAGAAATGAAATTTCCATTCATACTCAACGACGATGTATCCATTGCCATGGAATCCTCTTCATGCTGAATTTTAGAGTAATCGAATGGAGACCGTGCAAATTTACCAACCAATGCAGCAGCTGCTGGTGGGCTATCTCGATTCGCTGTTGTGAATCCGTCTAATGTTTTAGTTAATTTCATTGCTGTTGGCATTCTTTCTAAATACAGATTCGATTTGTTCGCCACTTCTCTTGGTGATGCAAGTTTTCCCCGTTTTTCACTTTCAGTGTTTCGCTTCTTTCGATTTGTAATTGAAGGGAAGTTCTCTTCATCTGTAAACTCTTCACTCTCATCTTGCGGAAACTTCTTTTTTAACCATTTTTTGAATTTTCGAAAGGAACGCTCTTTCCTCCGTGTTTTTTTTCCACCAAACATTTCCTTTTCACCATTGTTTGGAAGAAAATAACTGAACTCTTGATCATCTTTTGATTCTTTCACATCGAATTTTATATCACGTTTGTTCCGCACTGAATTGAACAGAGGCCCTGGAGGCCCTGCACTTAGACTGCGTGCCTCAAAGTAATCATTCTCAAACGAACTTTCCGGAACCTCCGGAAACGACAGATAGCCAAAGCCATCAAGCATTTCTGTCTCTTCGGGTATCAGCATTGCTATCGCAGCTTGCAAAAAAACCACCAACATTGCTATTCGTTGCATTATTAAGGCTGTCAAAGAAAATTGGGAAAAAATATTGTAATTTCAAACATGAAGAAACAATCAGGTTTTTTTTTTCATGAATCCAAATGGATTCGTTTTTTTTTTCTTGCAACAACCAATATATACCTAACTAGTACCTAGTGGCGTTGAAAAAATACATTTAGGCTATGTATCAATTCTCTGTCACTGGTTATAAAACAATTAAATACAAAACATATTTTGTAACAATAGACAAAATAGAGATGAGATTCAGTTGGAGCAACAAAAACTACAATGACCGAAAATGGAATTAAACATATAATGTTCTGGCCGGAAATTTGTCAACTGTAAATAAAAAATTAGTTCACTTGTACAGTTTCGTTTTTTCTGATACATTTTCTGAAAATGTTCGCTTTGTCTAAAGTTTTCCAAATTACAAGACCGATTATTTCCGGCCAAACTACTTCATTCATCCAGTTTTTGGCGTTGTAAATAAATAAATACATAAACTTCGGATATATTTCTTCTGTTTTAACGATTAGAATAAATTGGTCTTAATCAAATCTTAATTTTTTTATTCAACTTTGATAATAGATAAGACTACTAGATGAAACTATTTTTCTTTCTGAATTCTATGTGAGCCTTTTTTATTGAAAATAATATTTTTTTTTCTCTAATAGTTTGAGATAACATCTTTGAGTAAAATCGAGAATACTCACTATACAATCTTGCTAAAAGGGGTTATCAAATGAAATACTCTCAAAAATGGTAAATTTAATGAAATAGAAAACATATCTCTTCGGCTGTCAATCGTAAACTGAAAATCAAGATGCATGCAGTTCTACCATCAAGCTCACATTCACATTCACATTCATATAAATGACAGTTATTTGCATTTCAGACACGTTCTTTTGTCGCATTGAGTATAGCGTTAATGTTGGCGATGCCGATGATTTTTTTCTGTGTATTCATTCGCCAATGGGCGTTTTTGTTAAAACAACTGTAACAACAAATGGAATAAATCCACATAGATGGGTCAGAAATCAAAACTCTTTGTTCGAAATAGCAGTGAGAATATAGCGTGTGAAATTTTCTACCTAATACTACACTACTGACTCTGGTGCGAGAGTCATATAACACATGTCTGAGTCAACGAACTTAACATTTAGCTACGGTTGCTTGCTAGTGTTGTCACCAAACCGTGTTTCCGGTAATAGGTGCGATACGTTGAGAATGCTTTTCCGGTTTTGTGTTACTCTTTGTTGATTTGTCCGTTTCATAATAACTGGCCAATTCTTGCAGATGACATTGTTCAATTGTTTATGTTTAACCTTTGCATCCAATGGAAATGTTATTTATTTCAATTGAAATTGAATAATAATAATAATAACAATAATAATATAATTTTAAGCAGTGAAATGAATTTGATTCGCCTTTTCATTATAATTAGTTTTAAGCACAGTCATGAAAAGAAAAATTACGTTTGGTTTTGGGCGTGTAAAACACGCAATGATTTTATTTTACATCAAATTTCCAAGTATTATCTGCTGAAAACTATTTTTGTGATTCAATGTCGGAATAAATTTGTCAATTCGTTTTTCAATAAATTATTAATAATACATAACATATTAGATTAATCCTGGAAATATACAAAATTGGAACAATTTTGAACATTTTGTTCCAATCTTGTTTAAACTTTATATTTAATTTCCTCTTTCGCTCCAAAATTGCAGATTTTCTGATGTTTAACGATGCGCAACTCTCCCGAATTTTGGTCCTTGATGGTACGCCAGTACACAGTTTGAACAGCGTTTCTGCCAGCTAAATAACGAACAGCGGATCCAATCAACATTTTGTGTTTTTGACTGTGTATCTTATCGGAAATTTTCAACAAAAACGCTCAAAAGTTTCAATTGCTTCTACGTAGCTAATTAGTAAACCAGACAAAATTACTTCAGAACGAATTCAAACTAATGAATGCGGATACTTTAGAGATGTGTTCACTTGGAAGGTCGATTGCGTTTGTGCTGTCCCCAAGCAAGTGTCGACTTTATAAGCGGAGCACAAACCGTATGTAACAAAAAGTTGTATGTGTGTAACTTGAATAAAGAAATAATTCAATTAAATATATCAACTAAGTTTTTTTTAATCAAATAGAGCAGCTTGATTTTATTATTTGTTTTTTTTTTGCCTTTCGTCAGTTCGTTCGTTCATTATTAGCAGTCTTTGTGTGTTCGCACTTTAGTCGGCTGTTCTGTTTGGTTTATCACAACATCTAATGTGGTCACCCATTAACGCAACGCTTTTGATTAGAAAAAGCGTTGCACACGCTCACAATTTTTGTATTTCACTTTTCGGTCACTCATCGAGACAATGATGTTGATAACGCATGAGACGCTTGTTATCGAACTTGTGTCGTGTAAAGTGAAGATTTGTCGTTGGTAAACAAATGGAATATAATATAATATTATAAATACATATAAGACGTCATTCCAGTTAGTTAGGAAAGAAAAATCATTCGAAATAAGAGTTAAAAGTTTTCCGGTGTTGTTTGTGCGACGTGTTAACAAATAACGAATCATATGATTGTAATACGCATTGATTACGTACTAATATGTATTTACGAACTTTGCGCTCATAATAGGCAAGAAAACAATGAGTTAGTTTCTCATTGATTTCCGTTATACTTTCCATTCGAGAATCTCTTTGTTGTAACTGAAAAAAAGTAATTATGTTTTCATTTTTTCATTGATAGAAATTTAGATGCTACACATAATTTATGGTATGGTCATTCTATTTATATTGTATAATCAAACGATTCGTGTTCCCTGCATGATATTCTAAAGATTGATTTTCGACCGTTTCTGCTACAAGTTTCTTGTCTTCGAGTTCATTTTAACGCTCAATAAACCACCGTAACATTACATATTTTGGGAACAGATTTGACCTGAAGCTAAACTAAAAAATTATAAAATATTTAAACCAGTTTAAATCTCAATGGAATGAATAAATAAAATAATTTAAAATAGCTTTTAATACGTGAAATTAAAACTACACGACGAATTTATAATTTACGTCATTTATTTGTAGCGGACATTAGAACTTTAACTATGACTATACATTTGAAAAACAAACGAACCATAACAATTTACATTTTCGCTAGTTATTTCCGACTGTGTCCGATTCGTTCAAATGACTTTTGCATATGTAAACTCATACAATATTTCAAATTACTCATGTCAATAGCACTTTTTTCATGCTGAACATCATAAATATTATTGCCGAACATGTTTATTTCGTTTATTAGTCCAATCTTGCATATTTTTCAATCACTTTCAGAAATGGTTTCGATGAATGAACAAATATTTCAACAAATGAACCATTGCGACAAAAAATATCCTCAGAAATTCTGAGTCAGAATAATTTAGTCTTAAAGTGCAACATGAAGTTTTACATTTCCGCACACACCCTGTCAAGGGAAAGTATAGGAATTTGAACCGAAAACTTTTTTCACAAAATTGGTTTAGATCATCCAAATCATGGAAAGTTTTGATTATGATTTCACGAACCAACCAACCCAACCATCATATACATATTTACCTATATATTCCTTTCTTTCGTGCGCATTAGACTGATCCAAAAAAAAGTTAGTCGCTTATAAAAAGTGCCGTCCAGTTTCGAAAAATATACCTCGGAAAATAGGTTTGGCGCAAAAAAATCATATGGTTACCATAGAAATTTTATTTTATTTCGGAAAAGAGTGCAAGACTGTTACACATTTAGAATAATGAACAGTTTTTAGCAATAACTTTCGATAACTTTCAGTTCTCGCCTCGTTAAAAACCTGGCTCTTTTCGTACATTATGCGGTAATCACAATAGTAGGAACATGAAAACGAAGACAGTCATACAACCAAGATGGAAATGCCTAATACAGCGGACGCTCGGAATTCTTAAGTAGTTTGTCCTTGGGCAAATTAAGTTTTCCGAATTCTTAAGATTTCTGGACGGTTTTCAAAATTAACATTTTTTTAAAGAAAAACACCAATAAATTACAATGCTATATGTTTTTTGCTTTTATTAATGGTTTTTCGAAGCATCACAGTCAATTTAATCAAATTTGTGTGTAAAATATTCTAGAAATATTTATTTTATTTTTATTTCATTTTTTATTTTATATGTTAGTTCATATAAGTACGGAAAACATATTATTCATTTGATTGCGTAAAAAAGGTTGTGAGTTTGGTTTGTTTCGGTGGTTTCAGTATTTGTTTCATCACAATATCTGATCGAAGTTGAAGAAGATTCGACATGTGCTTGGCAGTCAAATCCGCATTCTGCTCGCTCCATTTGATTAACATATTTGCCGCTACAGATTTACATTTTCGATATGTTAATAATATGTTATTGCCCGACATATTTATTATTATGTTATGTTGGGATTTTTTTTATCTTAATAACGTTATTAAAGATTTGACATAATAATAACATATTATCTTAATAACGTTTTTTACATGTTTTTTACATGAAACTTTTTTTTGCGATTTTTTTGGTCGTTATTAAGATAATATGTCGATATGTTAATAAACATATTGGCCGTTATTATTATGTTATGTTGGACCAAATATACCGCCGTTATTATTATGTTATTAAGTATAGTTAATAATATGTTATTGCCCGTAAATCTGTATTTGCCGCACTGATTGCATCGGTGTATGAAACGGAAACGGAGTTTCCAACAGCACCGTCATCTTCTTCGCTATTAGTTTCATCAACATCAGTTTCATCAAACGCATCAGCATTCCAATTTTCGATTTCATCAATGGATAAAACACAATTTGGTGTGAGTTTTGATAATAACTGTAACGTTTCCTCAATTTCGTCACGGTAAGCATCGGTTTCAGTTTGATGTGCCAATTCTGCTAATGGAATGTTGTCCTTTTCGTCGAATTCTCCATCATCCCAATTCAAAATCTTTGCCCATGACTTTTCAATAATGCTAACTGGCAAAACACCCCATGCAGACTTTAAAAGCAAAATAGTATCAGTGCGACAATGTTTGCATATTTTAATATTAAATATCATCGAAAAGTCAGTTTACACTGCCTCCTGGCGAGTGGAATGTCTATGCCTATACATTCAATAAACTGCTTCCCCTCCACACTTTCCCCTACCATTTTTTCAATAAACAAACTGAAATATGAAAGTTGTATGGACTCGCTAGGTGCCGCCACAAGTACTACTTTTTTTAATCATTGTCTCATTGATAGTATTTTTGAGATCATGGCTTCGAAGAGCATCGTGAACCGATACATCATCTTGGGCAATGATTTTGGAAATCAACATGTTTCGATATTTTAATTTGACGATTTTTATGAATGCATAAATTGTTTATTTGTGCTAAAAATCGTTTGTTTGATGATCAAAAATTTATGGAATCATTCAAATCTACGTTGCATACAATGAGATTTTATTAAGTTGAACTCAAAAAAATAATTGAAAAAAAAAATGTGAACCTATTCAGAAAACTTAAGTCAAATCTTAAGATTTTAGGAAGTTACATACAAAGCAAAAACTGCTTAAGTTTTCTGGACAATTAAGATTTCCGAAACTTAAGAATTCCGAGCGTCCGCTGTATTAGTTTATAGCAAACGGTCCAAGATAACCTTTGGTAAACGTTTCCAAAGGAACAAAGGCTATGTGAAGCGTTCAATTACACGTTTAATTTGAGACCCTAGGACAGCAAATACGTCGCTCAATTTATACCGGTAGATAAATTGACGAGAAGTTTTACGTCGGTAAAGGCAGATCCATGTTGATTGCAGAGTGCATTGAGTTGACATGGACTATGATTTGAAACGTAGCTAGATCATTTGATGCTAAATGGTAAATAATTCAAAATTGACTTCAAAGATAGGAATATTAACAAAGCACAAAATCAAAATAAAAATTTACAATGAATAAGTGTAAACACATCACAGATAAGTATCATCTTTTCAATACACATAAAAGAATGTATGGAAAACAATTCGTCAGTCTTTTAGTATTGATTTTGCTGTGTGATCCGTGTGAGATGAGTTGAATTCCACGTGGGTGAAAAAAAATTGGTGGAGCAAGCCCCAATCAAAATTTTCATGTCAGTGTTTTCTGAAGCCATTTTGGATTCGATTTGACAGATAAAAGCAAGCGATTTCTACCTCTGCTGCCTTCGAACATCTAGTATGATCCCTTACAAACATTTTGAATACTCACACGACCAAATCGAGAGGTGTTTTTACCTATTTCTAGCCTTATATTTGGTTCGAGTCCAACTCTCGAAAAATTGACTTTTGGCCAAAAAAAATCCTCAAATATAGGCTTTTCAGGGATGGTGTCTTGGCACAAAGTTATTTTTCTCAAAAATATATTTATTTATTAATTTTTTTATTTTTAAGTAACACCGCCAAGCTCTGGCTGAATATAATGTGGGTTTTTGATTAAGGTTTGGCCGGAAAAGAGTGCAAGACTGTTACGTATTTAAAATAATAAACATTTAGTAGCGATAATTTTTCATAACTATCAGTTCTCGCCTCGTTAAAAACCTGGCTCTTTTCATACATCATGCGGTATTCACAATAGTAGGAACATGAAAACGAAAAAACAGTCATACAACCAAGATGGAAATGCTTGATATTAGTCTATGGCAAACGGTCCAT